ATAATGAAAATGTGAACCCTCTAGACCCAATTACTCCGACCACGGACCAATATGACAAGGTTTACCCAAAACTCAAGGGATTCAAAATAGGGCATTTAAATATTGCAAGTTTGGTAAAGCATAAAAACGAATTATTGGTATTTCTGGCTAAACTCCCTTTTGATATAATTTGTATCAATGAAACTCGACTTGACGACTCCATAGACAACTCTGAGGTTAAATTACCAGGTTACGATTTGATAAGAAAGGATAGAAACCGCAATGGAGGAGGAGTGGCTATCTACCTAAGGGATGTTATTCCCTATACTAATAGGGCTGATTTAATTCCAGTTAATGTAGAGGCAATTTGTCTTGAAGTTAAAAAACCGAAAGCTAAACCAGTTCTAATTAGTACTTGGTATCGTCCACCAGGTTCTAATATGGAATTCTTTAATGATTTTGAAAATTTCATAAAAGTGATTGACAATGAAAACAAAGAAATAATCATAACAGGTGATTTTAACTGTGATATGCTGGACAGCAACTATAGGAATAACAACTCCAAACGATTGGATGACCTACTAGATATCTACCAACTACAGCAGCACATTGATAAGCCAACCCGAACAACTGACTCGACAAAAACACTAATAGACATTATAATTACAAAAAGTGACGACACCAAAACATCTGATTCAGGAGTGATTGCTTTGGGAATAAGTGACCATGATCTGGTGTATATCTGTAGGAAAATAGGAGTACCCAGAAAAACGCCGAAAATAGTAGAAACAAGACAGTTTAAACATTTTAACGAAAACGAATTCCAACAAGACTTAGCACAAGCGTTTAACTACTTTACATACAACTCTGATCCAAGTCTTGCCTGGCAGGAGTGGAAGGACATATTTTTGTCTATTTCTGACAACCATGCTCCCTATTGTACTAGAAAAGTTAGAAACGAGCATTGCCCATGGTTGAACAATGAAATTAAAAACTTAGCTATCATCGAGATTACCTTAAAAAAAAGGCAGTGAGACTAAATTCTGCTGCTTATACCGAGGCTTATAAAAGATGCAAAAACTAAGTTACCAAACTTATTAGGGATGCAAAAGAACACTATTATAAAACAAATCTGGAACAATGCAAAAATAGTAAAGATAGCTGGAGATTTATTAATCATTTACTCAACAGGAGAACGACTACAACAACAATCAACCAGATCACAGTTAACGGACAAACAATTACTGGTAACGATAATATAGCAAACGAGTTTAACAATTATTTTTGTGAAATTGGCCCTAAGCTTGCACAAACTATACCACCAAGTAATGTACACCCACTTCAATATATTACTGCTAATTCTAATAAGTTTACATTTAGACAAATCTCACCAGTAGAATTATGCAGAATACTAGATGATATAAAATTAGGGAAAGCTGCAGGACTCGACAAAATCACAAACAAACTGTTAAAGGCTGCAGGCTATACCATATGTGAAACCTTGCTTTATATTTTTAACTTGATCCTAGACGTTGGTGTACTTCCAGACGACTTAAAACAGGCTAAGGTTACGCCTATCTATAAGGAAGGTGACAAAAATGAATGCGGAAATTACAGACCTATATCTGTCATACCGGCAATTTCAAAAATGTTAGAGAAAATAGTTTATAACCAACTCCTCAATTTTCTGAATGACAATAAAATAATCACAAAACGCCAATCTGGCTTCCGTAAATATCACTCTACTGAAACTGCTCTCTTGCAAACAACCAATGAATATTTAATGAATATGGATAGAGGCTTAATAAACGGTGTCTTGTTTCTTGATCTCAAAAAGGCATTCGATACAGTCGACCACAAAATCCTTCTTGCTAAACTCGAACTATATGGAGTTCAAGGTGTAGCCCTTAACTTCTTCAAATCGTACTTAACCAACAGGACTTATCCAAGGTACAAATTCCCAACTGAAAAAGATAAGGTGCGGAGTCCCACAGGGATCAAACTTAGGACCGTTATTATTCTCATTGTATATAAACGATCTTCCTAACTGTCTCGAACAAACAGAGGCATCTATGTTTGCAGATGACACAAATATATCAAGCATTGGTAATTCACCTGCGGACATAGAAGTGAAACTAAACAATGACTTGTATAACGTCAATAACTGGTTAATAGCAAACGAGCTTACTTTAAACTTAAAAAAAACTGAATTTATGCTAATAGCCTCTAAACGAAAATTGAAACAATCTCTTATGACCCATGTATACTGATTGGAAATCATAACATCAAACAGGTAACTAATAAAAAAGTACTGGGAATTACGTTAGACGATGAACTGAGATGGCATAAACACAATGATCTTCAATGCAAAAAACTATCCAAGAGCATTGCCTTATTAAGACGAGCCAAACGATTTGTCAACCAAAACGTCTTAATTAACATGTACAACTCACTAGTCTTACCTCACTTCACCTATTGCTCCACCGTGTGGAATGACGGCAGTCGTACACATACAGACAAGCTTTTAAAAATGCAAAAACGAGCGGCTAGAATTATCACAGGGTCAACTTACGAAGTAAGATCGAAAGATATATTTAATATCTTACACTGGGAACCAATTGAAACCACTCTTAAGAAAAGAGAAATGATAATGACATTTAAGGCCTTACAAGGACAACTGCCAGAATGTATGACCAACTTCTTTAAAATTTGCCTAAATGATATGTACCCATTAAGAAGTAATAACTGTAAACTTTATTTGGAGAAACCTAAAACAGACTTCTTGAAGAATTCGTTTTCATATCGAGGTGCGGCATCATGGAACAATCTTCCAAATGATGTTACCAACAACTACAAAGTGCTCTCCATAAGTAACTTCAAAACTTTAATCAACAACTATTTCACCAATTTGGGGAGGAATAGTGTGTGACAACCACTTGTGGGGCGGATTTTGATTCGAAGGAGTAATTTTTTGGGTTTGGGAGGGTTAACATAACATACTATTTCTAGTTATATATGTGAATCATTCTAATTTATATATAGTGTTCATTGCATGGGCTTTCTTTTTTACACAGTTAGTATGTACAACAGATTTTTCGTATTTGTAAATATTCTAACGGCCCCTTGAAAAGCAGTTTAATCTGAAGGGCTACCGTTTTTAAATAAGATGAATAATAATAATAATAATAATAAAGGCCCTTCGTCTGGAGTTATTAGGGAGCTTAAGCATGTAGGACGGCAACACGACGACGACGGCAACACGACGACGACGGCAACACGACGACGACGGCAACCAATACAATGAGTCAATGAAAAGTGAATAAATAATTAAAGTCCCAGGGGGAGTTTCAGACGTGGTCGTCGCTCTGTTTACAACGGCAAATCACAGATTTTCACGTCTTTTATACAACGCCTGCATTTCAAGTCGTAACAAGTGCAACTTAAAATTCGGTCAGTAGAACTCTTCCCAAACATAAAGCCAATGTTTTCAGCTTCTTATACTGTATTAAATTCATACGAATTATAATATACGACAAGTTTTCTTTACTATCATTTATTTGAAGGAATTTGTTTTGGCCGTCGTCGTCGTGTTGCCGTCCTATATGCTAAGGCCCTGTTACACGGTGCAATTTTTCATGCAACTTGTCTCGCAATGTTTAAAAAAAGATTTTGATAATGCATTGCAAGAGGTGTTACACGGTGCAATGATATTCATGCAACTCGCAACGATAGGGGACAGAGGCATGCGAATAGACTAGAGAGAGGCGTTATTTGGCGCCAAATTGTAATTAAAATAAAGCGTGTACTGGCGAGAGCCAATAGGAACTCTCCAAGCTATAAACGTTGCGAGACAAGTTGCACGAAGCCATGTTACACGCTGCAATGCCAAAAATAATTAGTGCAATCGTTGCCAAAAGTAGAACCGACTTCTACTCTGTGCAATGCTTCATGCAACTCGTCTCGCAACGATTTTGACAATTGCAAGGCATGTTAAACGATGCAATGACTCGTGCAACTTGTCTCGCAACGCCATTGCGAGACAAGTTGCATGAAAAATTGCACCGTGTAACAGGGCCTTTAAGCTCGCTATTAGCAAATTAACGAAGGGCCTTCGACGTTTCGAGCGATGACCCTTCGTCGTTTACTCGCTTTCGTTCGTAACTGTAGACGAAGGGCCTAATTCACTCGAAACGTCGAAATTCTCCTTATATTTTTCAGGTAGTTGCATCCCTACCAACGAAAGCTTATTCCTACAGTAGGCTACCTACACTGGCACCGACTGTTCGAGGCCCCGTACAAACGAGCAAGGTTTCCTTGACAAGTTTCATTTGCTCGTGTGTACAGGAGCCGTGTTCCAAAGCAAATCATGCCAGCTTTTGAACAAGGAAAATGTTCGTGTGTATGGCCGCCAAGGAGATCTTGATAAGTGTACATGAAATACGCAAGCAGGTCTGCAAATTACTGTCGGACATCGGACAATGTCCGACTAAATTTGGCAAATGTCCGAGCAAAAGTAATTTTGATCGGACATTGGTCCGATCACAAAAAAAATTGTCACATAATTATATACATTTTTTTGCTGTGACAAAATCCGATTGCAAATTCACTCAATTTGCATTTTGCAATAAAATTTACGAGGCGTTCTAGCATTTAATTTTACTTAACGTTGCGCCGGAATGGCATACATACTTGTCTCGTGACTTATATATATATCTTGTGACGTATATATGCCCAATCGAAATTTAGTGATATTGGTTTTCGACCAAATTCAAGTTATGTCCGACCAAAATTAAAAGTGATCGGACAAATGTCCTGTCAAGTCAAATATTTATTTGCAGCCTTGCGCAAGATAAATGTTTAACAGCATCCCGTGCACACGAGCAACAAAACTTGTGAAGGAAAATCTGTGGTATACACACGAGAAGGTAAACTTGTGAAGGAAACTTGTAAAGGAAAACATGTTGGTCTGTATGGGGATTAACTGTATATAGGGCTAACCTGAATTAACCATCCCATGCTATCGCCAGCCAATGGTGGCACAGCGGAAGATATTTTCATTTCACCCTACAAAATAACATTCAAGATTCACTTTATTTGTACTTTTAATTTCTCAGCATATTTAAATACGTACATATGGAAATAAGTTATTCGTCAAAGTCTAAATTGAGTCAGATGTCTTCAAACCATTTAAATAATTGATTTCCAATTTTTGACGAAAAATACTGTAGTGTGTATTCAAGAATTGTTCCTACACCAGGTCACCTCCGCAGAGTACTCTTTCGCAAAAAAACTCGGATCTCTGTCTTTAAATGTTTCTAAAACGAATTCACTGTTTTTGACCGAGCTTTAAATGAAAATTATTTCTAAAGTAGGGAACAATTGGGGATCACTAGGGCTTCACGAACCTATGTACGCTCGGTCAAAATCTTTACACAAAGTACAAGGCAGAGGTCAACGTTTTCTTCCACATTAGGCTACATACATTAGGTCAACAAAAGCTTAAATTAGCAGAAAATATATGCAACCAAGTATTATAATAAACATAAATACTTTCATAACAATCATTTGTTCATTATTTAATCTAATTTATCACTCGGCAGTTAGTATATGTCACTACATGAGTGACTGATCAGATTGCATTAGAATGTTAGGGTTTGGAATCCAAGTGAGAATATATACATTTTAAGACCTAACCAGGAACGACTGCGAAAAATGCAGCACAAGGTCCTCTGGTAGGAATTGAACCTACGGCCCTGCGATTCCGGTGCAGCGCTCTAACCAACTGAGCTACAGAGGCCAGCTGTTAAGCTGTAACCGTAAGTTCATGTATATATAGGTAATCGGGTGTGCGGGTTGTGATAAGGTGGACTTCATAACTTAGATTCTGCACTTCACTTGGTGGAATTAATATTAGAATGTTAGGGTTTGGAATCCAAGTGAGAATATATACATTTTAAGACCTAACCAGAAACGACTGCGAAAAATGCAGCACAAGGTCCTCTGGTAGGAATTGAACTAGGGTTTGGAATCCAAGTGAGAATATATACATTTTAAGGAGAATATATACATGTTAAGCTGTATTTAATATATACAGCTTAACAGCTGGCCTCTGTAGCTCAGTTGGTTAGAGCGCTGCACCGGAATCGCAGGGCCGTAGGTTCAATTCCTACCAGAGGACCTTGTGCTGCATTTTTCGCAGTCGTTCCTGGTTAGGTCTTAAAATGTATATATTCTCACTTGGATTCCAAACCCTAACATTCTAATATTAATTCCACCAAGTGAAGTGCAGAATCTAAGATCAGATTGTAACCTATCACATGCATTAACATTACAGATGTTCAGATCTTGACTTTCTACTACCATTAGCCAATCATGCAGATGCGTTTAATCTACTGGCTAATGCGTTAGCCAGTGAGTGGTAGTGAAATGGGAACTTCTCTAATGGTCGATTAGCGACTGTTCATCGTTCAATACTTTAATACCTACCAAATTTGGAGCAGGACCAGGCGAGGCGATGTGAAGTAGACTGACTTCTTTACCGTTTTGAGCATTTGCTATCAATCTCAATGCAACATAAAACCCCTACAGTGCAAGATCATAGTAAGTAAAATCTTATGTCATTATCCTGAAGAGTAAAATATAAAAGAGGGCGCATTTATTTTTGTCCTGGGATAGTCCAATTGATTAATTAAAATGTCTTGGAAAAGCAAAGGGCATTTATTAAAGAACGAGGCTGTTAAATACATGACATTGTATTATATCGGTAATTTACAGTAATGCTGCCGTAATTGACGTAGTACGGTGGCCCACAACTCTCACATCAATAACAAATAGTTCACAGCATTAACAAACAGCTCACAGCATTAACAAACAATTCACAGCATTAACAAAACAGCTCACAGCATTAACAAATTGCTCACATCAACAACAAATAGCTCACATCAACATCAAATAGCTCACATCAACAACAAATAGCTCACATCAACATCAAATAGCTCACATCAACAACAAATATAATAGCTCATATCAACAATAAAATAGCGCTAAAACCAAACATTAAGGACAGCGGCTTCCCACTATACATTTGTGAAAAGTCATGAAACAGAAATGAAAGTCACGAAGCAGCCATTATTAAAAACAGATCGAATCAACAGTTTCAGGTTATAAAAGTATAAATAATATAAATTCTTCTCGAATTAAATTAAAATGTCCTGTATGAGGTGTGGCAACGATATCGGGAACTTGGACAATTTTTGTGCTCAATGTGGTGAAGGTATTTCGGAATAATTTGTTTATAATAATTTAATTTTATATACTATGGTCCCAGCCAGTTGTTGAAAGCTGGGTTAGCAACTTCCTGACAGCTTGTCTATAAATTTGGAAATATTTCTTAAGAGAAATATCTATATCGATCTGGATCTGAAGTTTTGAAATAAACAGATGTGTATAAATACATAAACTAAAACAGCAGGTTAAATTTTAACCCATGGTTAGTGCTAATCCAACTTTGAACAACCGGCCCCAGGGGATTAAATAATATTGATAACTGCAGTGGCGGAAATTCACGACAACCCCCCCCCCCATCTGCACTCGAAAAGACTGTTTTTAGCCCTCTTTTATGTCAAAATTTCCGAAAATTCGTCAATTTTCCGTGAAGGTGGGGGTGCAGCCGCCCCCTCCCCCCACCAAGATTTCCGCCATTGATAACTGTCTTCCGAAACTGTTTCATAGTTAGACATGATGGCGAGGAAAATCAGGGTAATCTTTAAAACGTCGATCGAAGACAAGTAAAGCAAAGCAAAAATGGTGGAATTCGGGAATTTGAAATTATAAATGCCGACTACCCTGGATGACGTCAATCTCGTTACACTAGCAGTCGAACACGCCCGTTTGCAGAGCATGCTCGGGGAACGAGATTGGATTGGAATGAAAACGCGCTAGACCCATGCTCTTTGTCTTTACAAAATACGACGGCGTCGGACCTTTGGCGCCGGACCATCTAAAGCTGAATTCAAAGCGCCGTAAAAGTCGAAGGATTTGCCCAAATTTAAAATTTTGCATTGAAATACTAGAAATCATGCCAAGATTTGATATAGCAAAAAAAAGTTTGAAGCATTAGGGGCATTTTAATAATGTTAAATTTAATGGACGGGAAAAAACAAAGTATTTAGCGCGCAAGCCCAGCATCATAGGCGTAGAGACTAGAATGACAACATAACATAGTTGTATACTGTAGTTATTTTAATCCCTGCGGAATTTTCATGATTTTCATGCAATCTCGTACGAGATTGTACGCAGTAAAATCCAAGATGGTGGCCAATGTTGAATTTCAGGATTATTATGCGTAGGGTCAGGGATTAGACGTTAAGGATTTGTACTTAGTAGCAGGCTTATGGTCAGTGTTTATTCGGTGATTACTACATTTTGTGAGTGCGTGACAACGCATCATTTGATTTAGTTCCTTAATTAAGTTACAGTGTAACAATCAGGAAACAGCAATTTTCGCAGGAAGAATAATGAGCCATGCATTGCATGTTCCATTAAGCCTCATTTGCATTGCACGTTTTCTTAAATATTTCACTGTGATGACCTCTGACAACAGAACATCGACTTCAGAACATTTTATTTATTTTACCCTTCACACAAAAATTTGAACCATTTTCTGCTTCCTTGCCACAATTAGGACAAAACATTTCCGCCTTTCGTTATGTAAATCGTTTCTTTTATACGTATATTAAAGTTCGCAAGTTCGCGTGTCCGCTTCGATCGGCTATGATGTTATCTGTGAATTGATAAATTTTCCAGTAAAATTTGACTGGACGGCGTGGAAAAGTGGCGTGGGCGCCCGAGTAAAGAACTTCATGTTGTAACGATATAGTTGATTAAAAATAAAACCGCTGTACGAACGCCACGGTGTGAGCTATTTGTTGTTGATGTGAGCTATTTGTTGTTGATGTGAACTATTTGTTGATGATGTGAGCTATTTGTTGTTGATGTGAGCTATTTGTTGTTGATGTGAACTATTTGTTGATGATGTGAGCTATTTGTTGTTGATGTGAGCTATTTGTTGTTGATGTGAGCTATTTGTTGTTGATGTGAACTATTTATTGATGATGTGAGCTATTTGTTGTTGATGTGAGCTATTTGATGTTGATGTGAGCAATTTGTTAATGCTGTGAGCAATTTGTTTTAAATGCTGTGAGCTATTTGTTAATGATGTGAGCAATTTGTTAATGATGTGAGCTGTTTGTTAATGCTGTGAACTGTTTGTTAATGCTGTGAACTATTTGTTATTGATGTGAGAGTTGTGGGCCACCGTAACGTAGACTATCAATCTCTTGCTTGAGGATTTATAAAAAATAGCTAATACTAGATACTGCAGAATAAACAATTATATGGAACCTCGCTTCGCACTGTAGTCACCTGGCTAACATGGTCATCTTCTTTTTATATGTTGATCACTGTACTTTTGTCATGGCAAAATTGTTACGCACGTTAATTCTTACCGGGTATCTTCACTCTATATATAAACGTGAATATCACACCTGCTTGTCCAAGTGAGACTTTCCTAGTGGATTGGCTAATTTCCAAATCTGCAATACAGAGTTAACGTTTTATCATGCTTATGTTTTAATAGACAGTACTGTACTGTTTATTGCATACATGTCCCATGTTTTGTGCACAATTGGTTTAAGGATAGGAATGGGGACATAACTTTCATGTGGGCTAGCAATGTTAAAACAGGCTAACATGAAAACGAGGACATGGGGGCCAAAGTGCAATAAACAGTAAAGTCTATTAACCAATCAAGTTGCATTGCATCGTAATGCACCTGTAATACGTCGTTACTGTATTTCACTCTGCCTCCTCATCTTACTCGTCAAGGGGAGAGTGCTGGTAGCATTCAATAGGTTAGTGCAACTACTGTATAGCTTTTCAAGACACTGAAAAGGTTAACAATCGTATTCAGCCTATTACAGTACTTGGTTAGATATGTGCACCCTAATGGTTTACTTACCTCATGCAACACTGAATCACTTAAACTTGATCTTTTAAGGAATCTGGCAGCATCTTCTGCACCAAGCTGACCAGACCCTGTGACATCTGCCTGTAACAAACACTACATACATTAACCTTTCTATTCAAGCAGATAAACATTAATCTATTAACAAGCTGAAATCTCTCCTTGAAAATAAAATAATCTGAGATTATACAAAGTACTTATATTCTAATTTCCCTACACAAAGCATACATGTGCAGAATTTTATTTTCACAACCGTTTTGTCTCAGATCTTTTTGCCACAAAAAGTGGTCAGTGGTGGTGCCATGGGGAAGACTGGGTAGGACACGTCCCCCCATTCAAATATGATGAGAAAAGTGTGTGTGGGCGGGGAGGGGATATGTTTGTGGCAGTGAACAAGACCTAGCCAACCATATAGAACTCAACAAACCAGTGGAAATAAAATTAGTGGAAATATTTAAGCTTGCAAAACCTCATCACTCATCAGCTTCTCTTGTCACTTCTAATTATGACTTTTAATAAATGTAGTTTTCAATGCTGGATACAAGACTTTCAGTTCTTGAATACTGTATATACTTTACATTTGTTTTATGAACCTGTCCATCAATGTATATTTCCAGACCTTATACATAGGTTTTGTCATGTGTCGCATGTACTTTACACTCTTCAGAGTTTTGTATTTAACCTCGCATTTCTGGAACTCTACATTTCAAAATTTTCCAGGGGTTGCAATGGTGAATGCCCCCAGATCCCTGTCTCCCCCTTCACCAGTCGACTATCCCCTGCCCTAATTTTACTACCCTGGTGCCACCACTGAATATGGTTGCAATAAAAAAGTAAAGAATCCTATTTTGTTCAATGCACAAGAGTACCTGTCTCCAATAATTGTCATACAGTGCTGAATGGCCACTTGAAAGCTGGAATGAAAAGAGCATAGAAATATGTTGTAAAACTTTATTATAATACATAACTATGCATACAGATTATGTTTGAAATATATGAACAATATGATTCATTATCATCAATGGTAAAATACAAAGCTGTTTGTTAAATTGTACTTGGGATGCTAATAAGCATTACCGGTACAACAATTTACAGTCTGCCCAAAAGTTAATTACTTCAAAGCATTTTTCAGTTGGATTTTTGTTTATTTGTCTATTATGTCTTTATAAAGAAAAAAATTACAAATATAAGCTGCAAAAAATGGATTGCAGCAACAGAGAAAACTCACAAACTGGAGCAAAATGATATATTTCGCCAGTCCATTGGTCAAGCTCCAATGGACTTAATGATCAAAAAACTGTTTAAAGTCTGTGATAATGTAACTGTGTACAGACAGTGTGTACATTGTGGATTGTCTCAATTTTCCATATACTATAAGTTTTTTTACCATGCAATGTAAAGTGTTATGCAATTGTTCAGTTTGCTCCTTTTCAGCTGGGCATAGGTTCAACCAAAATGGTCCAATTTTTCAACGATGAGATCTTAAATTTGTTATTTAACTCATTAGCTTTTAAATAAGCTCTTTCCAAGGGGATTTTGTAGTTTCACTTGTATAACATTTCCTTATAAAGAAAAAAATACTTGTCCCCTTCATAATAAATTACATCTGTTGGGCTGCCCTGTCTCACCTCTATTTGGAATGGAGTTTTCTCTCTTGGCTTGGATAGAAAATTTGGCATTATTATCCAACTTACATATGACATGACCATCAGTGATCACCAAATATTATTATACCTGTCACGTTTTAGGGAGAGTTACTATTTTAAACTTAAATTGTAATTTTGTATTCTTTTTGTATTTTAAACTTAACCCTAATCCTAACCCTTACTCTAATCCTAACCTTAATCTTAATCTTAACCCTAATCCTTTCCCTAATCCTAAGCCTAAAAGTCTAAAAATAGTAACAGTCCCTAAAACATGACTGATATGACTATATTATTATCAACTGCATCAATAATAACACCATGACATAAATGTGGAAAAGGTATTCAAGCATCATCTGACTATTGGAGGAATTTTTCTGATCACACAATGGCAACATACTATGCCTGAGATACAATATACCACCTGAATCCTTCAAACCAATACATTAGTAAGAGTTTTTCTTGGGGACGAAAATTCATATGTCAAATAACTGATCATGTGTATTTTAATACTGTTAACAATAATACTATTCTTGAAGATCTTATTCCTGAATTTATATAAAACACTCGACTATGCCTCTCTACTCTCATATTCACTCAACATCTCCCTTGTGCATTATCACAACATAAATGCACAATCATGCTCATTTTCTATTTCTTAAAAAAAAGCATGCATAAGGCAGTATATACTGTAGGTAAGTGTAGTCTAATTATAGTGCAGTCTTAATCTACTTTTAGAGGATTGTGAAAAATGCCCCAGATCTTATTCCAGTGGCAGAAGTTGATGTTTTCTAGAATAACCCAAGTCATGCAAAAATGTTTTTGTTTTGATGGTAATGCAACAATTGAAGAGTATTGCATTGCTATTACACCAGGTGGCTACGCAAATTTCGAAACCGTCGACGGTCGAGCACATCATTGATGGTCGAACACATCATTAATCTCGTTCCCAGATTGCTTTTGAGGTGATTAGCGCGTGGAACCATTTGGTGACACCTTAAACCAATCGATGCCAGTAAAGATTTTACGCAGTATGATAGTATAAGGTTTCAGATTTTTGAAAAGATGGCATGCAAAGCAGCCAATTCGGTTATTATTCATTCTACAAAAGAGTTCAGAAATTAGTTATAAACAGATTTTTCACATTAAGTGTGGCCAAGTTAGTTGTGTTTAAAGGCCGATAAAACTGGCTTATATTGTGTAAACGGCTAAACAACTGCTGTAACTTGGTCAAAAAAGCGTTATAATATGTTCCGTGCGTCAATTTTTTATATTCATCAAGTAACCTACCGTATTTTTAACGTACGAAGTCACGAGAACGAAGAAACGAATTTTAAGCCAAATTAAATATAATGGCACAATCGGAGACGTGCTCGCCAGTAACACGATACGTTAAGATTTGTCACTAAAGGCCCTGTCACACTATTGCGTATCGTACTAGCGTATGCCAGCGCATGAAAAATATCACTTATACGCCGGTATATACGCTTCTCACACGTTTCTCTCATACGCAATAATGTGACAGGGCATTAAAGAAAGCTTGATATGTTTTCTATTGCTCAATATACATATGAGTGCACGTGGTTCAAGTAAAAATGGAACCGCACAGCTAATACTATAACTAACATTTCACTGTTACTTGAACCACTCGACATATATCATATTTCAATTTTAGCATTAGCCGTGGACTTATCAAAAGTGCAAGGTTTATAGATATGTTATTATTATAGATAGACATTATGTTAAAGCTAACTGTAAATTGCATGTATAATATTGTTGCTAATGTTGGCATTTTCCACGTCACTCTGTTGTATCTAGTTTTGAGATGGTTCTCTATATTTCACTTCACAAGTGAAGACACTTAGAAACTTCAAAGTTAAGATAATCTAGTAAATTTTAGAAGATAGTTACTGCAACAATTGTGCGAAGAGCAGTAACCAGTAAACCGAATTGGCTGCTTTGCTTTTCGACTGCTACCCGCTATCTTTTCAAAAAATCTGAAACCTTATACTGCGTGAAATCTCCAGTCACTGACATCGTCTTGGTACAAGATGTCACCGAATGGTTTGTACGCGCTAATTACCGCTGGCGCGATTTGGGAACAAGATTAATGATGTGTTCGACCATCAATGATGTGCTCGACCGTCGACGGTTTCGAAATTTGCGGTGGCTACACCTGCATTATTTGTGGCAATGAGAGACTAATACAACAATATGGCATGGATGCAACTTTTATAAAATTAATGCTTTAATGCTTTTGATATTGGCTGGTCATGAAATGTGTGAATCATCATGCAACCTTGACTGATTGACTGCAACCTAATTGCACCAGTGAAGATCTTTGTATATACCTTGCTCACATACTGAATGGCATAAAAATTCATTTCTACCATTCTTCTATTAGACTATGGAATTTACTGCCCAATATAAAATCACATTAAGTTCCCTCGATAAGCCTATATTACGCTTTTGGAACAAATGTAAAGCTCATACAGTATAAAATCGTTGTGCAAAATTAAATGGTTTTAAATTGCAGCAACAATTGCAGGCTTTTGTTGTCTTAGAGTGAGCAATCCCTCTTGTGACAGCAATGCAACGATTTCACCACCATTGCATTGCTGCCACCAGGCAAATAGCACAATGTATAGCTTTAGGATAAGTTTATACAGACATGGGCCAGAAAGTTTAATTTCAAGTGAAAATTATTGTGTTAGAAAATGTATTTACACTGTATTTTAACAGCACTCAACCTGTACAGTAGCTCTATGTAAACAGTACAAAGATGACATCCCTCTCAGTAAAGTGAGCCAGCTGTGGTCAGTGTGGAAAGTTTGTATCGCACAACCGAGATATCGGGCATGCAATTGTGGTGCTTTTATATATTTAATACTACTGTAAATTCTTGAAATCTCTGGTGCATAATTTCCAAACTTTCCAGTCAAGAACTTGGGTATCCAGGCTTACAGACATCCCGCTAAGACTAATAGTACACATCGTAGTATATGTAGGCCCTTATATAGGCCTCTATTCTATAAAATTTATACTTTATACTAAATTTCAATAAATAAATTTATTTCAGGATTTTTTGTGTCCCTTTAAATATTAATAAAAAAACAATAACATCACTAGATCTATCGCAATTTGTGTCATGGTGTAAACTGGCAACAGAAAAGTAAAAGTAAATTAACTTTGAAGCGACTTAATTGATAATTCAAGTACTGTAGATATCACAATTGACAAGAGCATATTTACCCAATTTTAAAATTGGTTTATTTTATATGGCTTCATAATTACAGCTAAGTTTTATATTTCGGGATTAGGACATCAACCCACATTTGAAGATATATCATAATAGATCGGACGAATTCAAAACTGGAATCCGAAGTATGGCAAATATGGCAATGAATGAAAAATATACCGAATACAGTGCAGTTTAATAATCATTAGTTCATAGAATTTGTATATTTCATCAATTGGAGTTACGAACTTTTACATGTATACCGATGAATCGGAACCAGCTATAAATAATTTGGGATAAAATGTACAAATTCTACATTAAAAATGAAATACATAGAAAAAATATGAATGAAAATTGACCACAAACCTGAGACAAAGATGTTGTAGTATTCGACACCGCCATAGTGGCAGCTTGTTATCTCGTACCCAGGAATACACAAGGAATACACAGCTAGTGCTTTTTAATTAGCATATGACGTAGCATGACCGGAAAAATCCCGGAAGTACAAAAACCTGGAAAGTTTACTGGTAATAAAGTTGGGGTCTTGGGGATTTAGCAGTTGAGGAGGTGGAAATTTTAAATGACTTCAAAATGATTTGAAAATAAATACATCCCTCCCCATGTATGAGTTGAAAAAGTTGTGACATTCACTTAGGACTCGTCCAAAAATAGTATGACCCCATTGTACCTCCCTCCTTGTTAGCCCGGAAATCAATGAGGATAGAGCTCCCTTTCTCCCCTGGCTATGCTGGGCCAAAAATATCCGGCCATTTGCAGAAATCATTTGGAGAGGGGTCAGGGGGACACGGCTCCCACGGAAAATTTTGAATATCTAAGGTCTTTGGAACGGCATTCACGCATTCCAAGACGCATGGGCGTACGGGCCTAATTTTGTTTGGGGGGGGGGGGGG